GCACTCATGCAACTAGGGAGTTCTTGAAGATGGCTCAGTCAGACTTCGAGCCCTCTTCGTGATGAGGGCCCATGCATGCATCCATTAGTCTTTCGCAAGCTGCTACGAGGTCCTCCTCTCTCGTCGCGGCATGTGGAGGCGGCTTCATCTCCCCCACCCGCAGCACTAGTGCATCTCCATCATACTCTGCCGAGGATGCAATGCGTTTGCTGGGCATGAGGAGCAAGTACTGCTTGGCGATGAGATACACCAAGAATGCGGGAATGAGGAAAAGGTACGAGACAGCACACGTCTTGCCAATAATATCTGCCTGTACATCGGGTGGTTTCATCGGGGTCCGTCATGGAGACCTTCCCTACATGCAGCCTTGTCCAACCTGAGGATACCTGAGGTGAGGACCCATCTAGCATCACCATCAGAGTCCAAACATCGTGCGTGCGGCAGCTCTGATCGGAAAGCCAAACCATTCAAAGGTTCACCGCCTGCGAGAGCGAGGTCACAAGCTTGACCCCTTCGAGACAGACGGCTGACATGCGCGACACCAATCGGCACGGCACGAACCTCCGTCCACCATCTGGCAGTTGAGCAGCTTCTCACAACGAAAGGCCCCGCCGATGAATAGCCACGACAAAGCCTTGAGCGCAAGGCTCACACCTGCCGGCCAGACAGAACACACAGTCATCACATCTAGCTTCGAACTCTGCTGCACAGGCTCTTCAAAGCCCTGGCTGTTTCAGACTGAACTCCATCATCTCAGGCCCGCACCTGTGCCCTCCTGGGCCACGACTTCCACCAGCATGCAAAGCAGCAGCACAAACAAAGGCACACAGGGTGCTGCCAGAGCACACAGCGTCCGCGCCCTCCTCCCACACAGGTCAACATAGGCACATCCGGACCTGTGAGTGTAGTTCCCGTCGTGCGTTCGTCAGACCATGCCTGCCCCAACAACTTAACATGCAGCTAACGACCACAGATATTTGGAACATGCCTGCGCCCTGCTCCTGCCATAGGCACAGTCGAGGCTCAGGGCATCACGGACTTCACTCGCCGTGAGCTGAAACCACTGCACATACTCCTGCAACGGCTTGTCAGAAATGCATTCGACCACGGTCTCGAATATGAACAGGCTGCGTCAGCAAAGCCAACATACAAGCTCCTAGCCAGGAAGCATCCAGCCCAACCCTGCATCTCCTGCTCCCACAGCCACAGATTGCCATCGCTGCTGCTATTCGGATCTGCTGCATTTCCCAGGGCAACGAGCACGGCCCACAGCTGGCAGAGTTGCCTGGAAGGGAGGAATGCACGTTGCGCGAGATGTTGAAACCGTTCATGGCTGCAAGCATGCAGGGTCTACAAGAGGGTCCAATCTGACAAGCTCATGGTGCAATCTCAGATCTCGAGCTGGTTCACTGAGCTTTTGACACTTGTGACTCTGACCACATGCCATGGGACTTGCGTCAGACTGAGCATTCGTGAGAAGCCTCTTCGGCTTCATAGCTACCCTAAAACGCTATGTGCCCAGAACAAGAAATGAGTTTGAAGATACTTTTAGCAAGCTTTGGTAGGCCAGGTCGCAACAGTACTGGCCCCTGAGCCAGCAAAAAGGGCCAGAGGACCTGGCACTGGTTTGCTGCACGGCTCAAGCTGCGAATCTGGTATGAACGCGTGTGGAAAGAGAGAGTAATAACATCTGCTTAAACTCGAACCAACCGCTTCGGAGGCGTGCACAAGGAATGTCATTAACAGTTACTGGGTTATTCGGTCTCCTGTGATGGGGTCGTGGTTTTCGGATCATTCGTGGGCAAATCCTGAGGGCGAACATCTCCACTGCCTTTATACACCCCAGCACCTCAAAACGTTCGCATCTGTCTTTGCTGAGATTTCCACCTATATGCCGCAGCCAACGTGCTGTGCATCTGAGGTGCATCGCTGGCGGTCGGGGTCGGGGTCGGGGTCGTTGCTGACCGCGTGCCCTCTTCAGCGAGGCTCCTGGCAAAACTCAAAAAAGTGTGTGTCTGTTGTTGCTAATGCGAATTATTACTTCTATGCTATGGGTGACTGTTCCATTTTGCTTACTGTGCCGCTGACGCTGCCAGACTTGAAAGTGCCCAGCTTGCTCGTGCGAACATCATCAAATATCTCTGCGGTGCCTCTGGCGCCAGGCCACGAAAAGAATGGCTGCTGCAGCTGCGAGTGTTCCAACAGCTGCAACCGCAGGCCAAAAGGCATAGGCAGAGTCATCTGCACACCTGCGGCACTTCTTGCCGGTCCAGCGATGCCGTTCCGCGCACGTGGTGCATAACGGCCCTTCATAACCTTGGCGTGCAGGTTCGGCGCATGTTTTCTGTTGGTGTTATGGGCGGTCGAAGGTGCACTGCGGACCAGAATCCAATATAGGGTCCTTAATCATTAGTATAGGGTCTTGGGGCCCATTAGAGTATAACTATGATAAGGAACCCCAAATATATAGTATTGGGAACTGTTAATGCCCCTGTATTACTGGTTCAGGTCGAATTTTGAGCCCACGGCCGATCCTATGATTGATCCTGTACTAGGCACACCAGGAACCCATCAACTGTTCATGCCTGGTCGCCCCCAAGACATGTACAGAGCTGTCGACCATTGTGCCGTGAGTCATGTCGAGCAAAAGCATGTTGTTGCAGAGTATCATGCCAGCTTGGTATGTATTCCCATACTCTGAAGAATATGATAAGAATGCTTGATCAGCTTCATCGTAAGAAGAGGCTATAAGCCCTGACCCTACACTACTTAGCTCTAGCAGCAAAGAAGCCTGGGGCACAGCCGAGCTCTGAGCGATCTGGTGAGGCACTGCAGTTGCCGACGAGATCCAGACACCTCTTTCCCAAAGGATGGTTCTGAGGGATTGAAGCCGCAGACCGGAGGGGGCAGCTGCTTCTGGGAAGACACCCGCACATCATTCATAATAGCTACAAATCTTCCGTATGCCAAGGCTTTGTGAGAAGCCCCCGGAGCCAAGGGCAAGCGCAAAGACTTCTTTGAATCACACGGTTAAGTGTTTAGGGGAAGTGCGAGAGAAAAAAGGTCGGAGAAGCCAGGGTTACGCCGGCATCTGCTTCTTTCTTGGCCTCCTGAATGGCAGGGCTTCGAAACGTAAGTCGGTAGTTCACATATCATTGCAACGTCTTGAAGAAGTTCCGCAGACCGTTATTAACTTCCTTCTTGTATTATTGTCTTGTCGTGTACGCGAATACCCCGCTGTTCAAAAAGCGCTTCATGCTTTCCAGCCCTACTGTGTGGAAAAGCGGATAAGGAAGAGACTGGAACCGTGCCAGGTTCTGAGCCTTGCACGAGCTGGAACAAAAGCACTGCGACATCATCCCGGGCCAATAAATGAAGATATTTGTGGCCCACAAGCAGTCTAAAACACGATCTGTTATTCCTTGGCCCACCTTGAGGCGTTGGGTGCCAAAGGCATGAGTCGAGCAAAGCCAGGCTGTGGCAAGGCTTTCTCCGCTCGACTGCCATGGTCCGGGCACTCCTATAGGCAACGTTGGGATTTGGACTCCCGCATCGGAATCTCTGCAGGGATTTCGGGGAACGACAGCACAGTACCTTGCTTATGTCGGGGGTGCTATGCAAGAGTCAAGCGATCGAAGAGCAGCCCTACCCCGTCCAGATGCAGCTCGTTGCAATCCACGCACTGATTCTCCCACAAAGCCGTGTGTCGATCACACTGACAGCTTGGTTTGCCGGAGATAACCGAGATCCTGCGGACCGCTGTCTGGTGAGTGGTGGGATGGTTTGATGTTTGGACGTAGAACCGTGGAAGGCTGAACTCGAAGATCAACATTGCAGGGCGGCTCTAATCTCGAAGCTTGGGGCCGAATTGTTTACTGTGGAACAGTACACGTCCTTACGCAGGGGCTATAGGGGCCAGCCCTGTATTGCAGACCGAAGCCCCAGGATCAAAAGCAAGGATCCTGCCGACGTTGCACACGCAACTCTCCAGCAAGGAGGAGCCCACATCTTGCGTATCACCCCCAAGCGGGCATGGCGTGCATTCGCTGCTGTTGAACTTGTCGCTGTACTTTCCTTTCTCGCAGCGGCTGCAATTGGTGCCACTCCCGTGCCAACCTGCCAGGCAGCCGCAAAAGGCCTGGGGAAGGAAGATTGAGGTCGTCACCTGCAAAAAGCCATCCCGCAGACCATGGCAGCCGAACCCATGCACGGTATCAACGTGTGAAACCGCATCAGTCATCCGAATCTCCCCATGCTGAAGGAGGCTTGCAGCTTCTGACCTTGCATGTACGAAGTCGACTTCTGCAAGGTCCAAGTGGACTCCCGTATCCTTTGCCTTGCGAAGAATATCATGGGCAAATGTTAGCGGTGGGTTCGCAGCAAGGCTGACAAAGGTGCGTGCCCAGAGCCCCTTGATGTGTGACAGGTTGTTGTCTGACAGGTCCAAGTACTGCAACACACTCCAAGATTGTTCATGCAGGGTGCCCGTGATATTGCTGGATGCGGCTGACAGCCGAACCAGATTACTGCATCCCTGCAGAATTTGTAGGAGCTCGCTTGGTGTGGTGTCTAATGGACATCTGGACACCTTGGCTGGAGGCACAGTGGCATCAAACGTATCAAACATGCACAAACCAGTATGCAATCACAGCAAGCTTAGGCGGGACACGTCAAGGCTCTGCAAGCTCGGCAGTTCAATCTGCGCTTTGAAAGGTAAAAGCTGCATTGAATTCTGGGAGGCGCTGCCAGGCTCAGTTGAAGACACTGATGCTCTTGATAGGATGAGCGTCGTTCTGGTCCCCTTGGATAGTAGAGCACTTCGAGGAAAGGAATCTCTGGTCTATTACGCATACAAGTCCAAATTGGTCGTTACCTTCGCAGCCACTGGCCTATCCATCGTGCCTGCAATCTGGGTTCGGGTACCCATGCAAATTAAGATCGCTAAGGGGCAAGGGCAGAGGCTGAGGATTTGCGAATTTTCGTGGGCGGGCCAGCTGAGGGCCGGGCCGCCAAGTTCAATTCGCGTAGCTGTTGCAAGCGTCCGACCCAAAGAATATTTATTCCACCAGACACTTTGGTGTTGGCCAGGGAGGCACTCTCCAGATTTGTCAAGAAGGTCAGGCTGTTGATGTTTCCATGGATCCCCGCGGCCCCAGACAGATCCAGGGTGTGCAGGCGCTTCATGGCCTTCCAGGAGCTTCAGGACATTCAACTGTCGAGGGCAATCTGTTACACGACTTGATGGTTTCAGTTCGTAGACGAAAGTCTCCAGAGAGGATTCTTTACCGCCTCAAGCCTCACCGCATTGTTGCCAGACTTCTGACATGTTCCGATATTCTACTTCTGCTAATACGCCAAACCTTCTGAAAACAACTGCTACATGGTGCATTGACAGCAATACAATGCCTCCAGCTCTTGGATGCTGCCAGCCACGCAAGTTCCCGAAAGACGTAGGGACGTCATGAACTTCATCCTGCTGAACGTCTTTAAACTGCCTGCCACGCCGGTACCGGAGAGCTCCAGCACACTCAGAGCCCTTTGCTTCCTTAGGACCTCCACCTCGCCATTGACCTTGGTGTTCTTGAGATTGATTTCTCTGATCCGAATGCGGTTCAGCACGGAGCCCAGGTCGGAAAGGTTACCAGTGACATTTGTGCCTTCCAAATTCAAGGTGTGGATGTTGTCGAAACCCGCCAAGACGTGAAGGCTGCCTCGCAAATGAGGGTTGCCTCCGAGGTCTAGGGTTTCAAGCCGAGGCAAGGCCTTGAATCCTGGCGACATCTCGCCTTTCAGACCTGTCTGTGGCAGCACTATGCCCACAACCTCGCAGCTGCGTTGAAGGTCGCGGCACATAACCCCCTGCCATCGGCAGTGGTCACCGGTCAAGTGATGTTCGGGCAACCCAAGCTCCACAAGCACCGTGATGAGTTTGAGACGCTCATCAGTGCCTCCAGTGGCCAGTTGGCTACGGTAGTGTGGCAACAACGTTGCTTAAAAAAGCGGCTACTGCAACTTCGGATTCGGTGCCCTTCCCTTCCTTCCATCGACCAGCTAACGACCATCGGGCCCAGAAACTTGCGTATTCAAAGTATGACAAACAAAATCACATCTTGCGATGGACTTTGCTAGGGGACACAGACAAGCGGCAATCACCGCGAATGTACGCACTGTAGTGGTCGACGACCGGGCTGGAAGGCGCCTGGCAGGCAATGTGAAGGCCGGGCTTACGTACTGAACCTCTTCCACTGCAAGAACTTAAGAGCACGACTACAGGTCAAGCTAAGGCACAATACAGGAATTTCTAATGCGCAGTCGGCCAGGAAAAACGGCGACACACTTTGATTGAAGTGTCCTATGGCATGAGGACGAAGTCGTTGGCAAGTCAGTGCGAAGATGTCCTGACAAAGCTTGGCATTTCAAGCCAGATGCCTTCCGGAAGGAGCTGGGCGCGAAGAAGTGGGAGCAAAGGAAAACCACTTAAGTTCTAGAGTAATTCTAGTACACCGTCTTCACGTGGCGAAGAAAGTCAGGGCTTGCTGGGCCTACAGATGTATGAGCGAAGACTCCGAACTTTAAAATTCGGAAAGTCGTCTACAATGTTCTGCAGCAGCGGGACATGAAGCATCTGCCTCGAGCTACTGCCTGCGAAGAGTCTCGTCAAAGTAAGGAGTGTTCCAACTTCGTCCCCATGTGAGCGATACAGCCCACAAAAAGCGGTGAGATTTGAAACTGGTGTCGCTGTTGGCTGCCTCGTTTCAAGAATGCTGTTGCTTGTGTGGCATAAGCCAACACTGGCGCTTTGCTACGAGTAGGGTGCTTGCCCGGCCCTTTTGCTCCAGGGTCGGAGGTTGTGCGCAAGCATAGCCGCATGTACGTGTAAGCGTGTGCATGCTTCCAACGACTTTCGCTTGTGGGTGCAGGCAGCGAGACGGGAATCACCTCTCAAGGTTGCCATTGCATATCTCGGATAGTCACTTTAGTCAAGTTCCTTTGGATGGCATGCTGGTAGTCTCCAGAGGTGGGGGGGAGAAGGCGCTTCCGAGGTTAACTGCAAGCGGAACCAACGTACCGTTTGGCTGCCGAGAAGGCTTCCGCAAAACCGTTCGGAGCACCAAGAAACCTCGAGCGGCAACCACGGCTCACCTGCCATTTCTGAGCGAGGCTTTAGCCTTCTCACTTTGCATACTGCCTTGCCCTACTTCCTGGAAGAGCAAAGCAGTGAAACTTCAGAAGGGCCTTTTTAGTTCAGGGGTTCCCAGATCCGCGACTGGAGCAAGGATGACGGATTTTGAAGAGTAGGTCGAGTATGCCCTCGGCCCTCGAGTATGTCAGCATATGTCAGCATAGTGGACACATCGTAACTTGATGTGCTGACATTGATCGTGAAAGCTCGGGCTCTGGATTGTAAAGTTTAATCTTCCCAGCATTCAGCAAGCCTGACCTACAACATGTTTTACGCGTGTCGTCGTGTAAGCTCACAGTTGCTATGCGCTGCATTTGATTCTGGGTTTGAGTACGCCACGACATGGAGAAGCCAGTTGTCTGAATGATGTTCGCCGTACAGCAGCACATGAAGCTTGCGGCTTGCAAACACCAAGCATTGATACAAGCCCCATCACCTGCAAGAGCTAAGAAGTCTTGGGGTGATTCATGCCAGATGGAACAAGATGCAGAGGCTTTCCAGACGTTGAGCTGTGCATATTAACAACAGGCGCCAAAACCCCCGCTCTGCATACTGCCCAGGATATTCGACAAGTGTCGAATCTTGGAAAGGAGCCGTAAGACAAAGGCAAGCTCAACATGCATCAGAAACAATTTGCAGACCTACGGTACAGAGCTATGATGAAAGAATGCAATGTTTCATCGAAGTCATCGTACGAAATGCAGGAGCAAGAACGGAATCGGAGACCCTTCGCGGTTGGGAGGTGTGGGCGGGGACAACGCCAGCTGCACTTTTCCTGCCTCAACGCCCCGCCCTGCTGAAGCTACCTTTAGTCGCCGGGACAGCAAGCCTTTTTTGTCTTCCCAGTTGCCCGGCTTCATGAGCACGTCGTTTCACATTTGCCAACACGGCTAGCCTCTCCATCACAGTGCTAGGGGATTCTCAGAATTTTCTTGTGCCGCAATCTGAGAACGTCTATGGCCCATGATGGCTTTTTGGGGCACATGTGCGCACGTGCGGATGCCAACCTGTTAGGGCGGCAGTTTCCTTCTGCTTTGTGTGAACGCTGGCGGCCTGATGTAGCGCTGAGGGAAGGTAGGCTAAACTGCCTCTCTAAATGTTGACTGATGACTGTACCTGCCCGGATTTTCGAAACCCGTCAATTCGTCCACAACGCAAGTCACAACACGAACTTTCATACCCTGATGTAGGGTACGATAGTAGCTAAAATAGGGCTTGGGGCCCCTTTGTAGTAGTTATAATAAGGAACCCAAAGGACTAGTAATCCTAAACCTGAGTTCGGTCATTGACTACGGCCTCGGGGGCCAGGCTCTGCCCACTGCGATGCTTGACACGCCCCACCTTGGGTTCAAGGCGGACAAACTTGAAAGACTCTTGAAAGTGAGAATGAGGTGGTGTTGGGCAGTGTAGGGCATAAGGTTACTGAGCAAGCAAGAAGCTAGGTTCGGAACTCCGCTGCAGACATAGGTGGTGACTTAATTCGACAACCCCGGCAGATTGCGACGCGAAAGAGTCGACAAACAGATAACTATGGTCTCACAGAGCGAAGAAATCTTAAGCACGGTTTCAATGCAACTAGATTTCAGACGCTCTGAACACTCAGTAGTGTACCTGAGGATGGCGACCCGCAGCTTTGCCGTTGCATGGCATGTGGCCAACTTCCCTCTGCCTTATGCCCCAGCCTTCACTGCAGTCCAGTATCAAATGCCTTGAAGTCGTCCTAGAATGATGTCATTAGTTAGAATATGGGGCGTCGACGACTGGACCATGGGCCGACTGCAAGAAAAATGATACAAACCGAAGCTACGCTCAGGATGCCGTCCACAAGTGTTGATGGAACTTGTAACGAACGTGTGCATTCATACTGGCGCCTCGCTAGAGGAGGTTCAGGATTTTGGTGCGAACTCAGAATTCTCCAACCCAAAAGCTGCACGATTGACTCCTACAACTTGCTTCACTTTCAGAACTCTCCGCAGCAGTCATGCCGTTCCCTCACCTGCTGCCTGCCGCCTGCAGAAGAGACTGTCAACGCTTGCAGAACGATGTCGCAACAAGAGATACAATAAGTACCAAAAGCACTGAGTCATTCTGTACCCTTCTCTCCAGCTTCTTGGCCATCACACTGTGTCCTTCTCAGAACCCTGAACCCTTGCTGCTCGGAGTCAACCCCCCGTGCAGGGTCCCGGGCTGTTGAATCGTCTGCGAGCTCGTCCAGTTCGCTGGTGCCGATCTCTTCACGGATTGCTGCTAGAAGCATGACCTGCTGATGCACCAAACTCCGTGTTGGTTCGGGCTGCAAGTGCAACTGGGCCAACCGATTCCTATCTCGAAGGGCGGTAGGGGATATGGTGCAACCAAGACACAAACACTCCTCGTTTTGCAACCGACCAGAAACAATGATCAGGAATGATTACTTGAATGTGAATTGGATTGAGGCAGGCGGGGTAGGGCTTTGATGATTCAAAAATAAGCTTCGGGGCTGTGGAATGTAATTTTGAATTCCTGCCTGCGGGCTTCAGCGTTCTGCTTTGTGGGGTCTGAAAGATTGGTTCGAGTTTGAGATGGAGTGCTGGCATGGCTTCTTGAGAGTCTCGTGATTTCTGGCGCTGACGGTAATAATAATTATCTGTTGCTGGGCCAAGATATGAGCAGCCGACATGCATCACTGAACTTCAGACGGCTGAGTTGCAGGAACTGAAGCATGGAGACCCTTTCATCGAAATTGCTGATGCTTCAGATTTAGTTACACAGACCTTAACAGCTACAGCACCGGCCCTCGTTGGCCTGGGTTAGGAGGAGCCACCAAGAGGGCGCCATTGCAGACAACTACGCAGCGAGGATAACGACACCTGACCTTAAATGAACCCTCGCCTGGAACCTTGCATTGCCGCCTGAAGCTTGCCCCGAACTGTATTTACCCGGGCAGCCGACTAAACCTCCTTCAGGGCGCATTGCACCCCAGAGGCCTGCCTGCCTTTCTGAGGTGCTGGTGACCATTTTTTTAAAGAAACATCAGGTGTCGTTCAAAGAGTTGCCAAACTACGAGTATCTGCAAGAGCCACACAGCGCATCAAACACGCGCAAAACACAGCTTGACTATCCTTGCAACCCCTTGCCAGGAAGATGTCGCAAGCCAGTCACCTCCAAATGTAGTCACCTCCAAATGCAGACCTGATCTAGAGATCCGAAAGATCCGAAAGACATGCCGATCTCTGATCGGACAGCGAACGTGTTCCTTCCGTCGTTTGTTTACAACTCGACAGATATTATAATAATATTGTCTCACCCAAACCGTATATATCATAATGCTACCCAAGAAAATACCAGAATATAATCACACACCTGTTTCTTCTGACGTTAACTTAATTAAAGTAAACCGTATAACGTCTGCATGATCTGCCTCGGAAGTATCATCCGCGTATACATGAAAGATGCATGCTATACTTTGGTATATTGATTCACCAGCTAAACCAAATTAATGTGGCGGTCTAAATAGCAGACGGTACACCCCCCCCAACCAAAAATATTTGGTCTAATTAATCTGGCACCGGTAACCCCGGACAGGGGTCAGGGATCTGAGTGGCAGGGAGTTGGAAGGTGCCGGGGTTTGGGGGCTGACTTGGGTGCAGGGTCTGCGGTTCTGCGCGAATGCGCGGTCGGGGGGGTTTGGGGATCACCAAATGCTGGAAACCAAGCCCCGATCACTCCGAGATAACTACCAAGACTAAAACCCCTTCATTTTGAACACTTTTGCCTCCAACCTACACTCCCACACTCCCACCCACAATCGACCACGTCTGAAGCTTGGTGCGGTACAATAATGGTACAGTAGTACAATAGTAGTACAACAGTAGTACAGTAGAAATAATACAGTAGTAGTACAGTAGTAGTAAAGTAGTAGTGCAGTAGTAGTACAATAATAGTGCAGTAGTACAATAGTAGTACAGTAGTACAGTAGTAGTACAGTAGTAGTACAGTAGTAGTACAGTAGTAGTAAAGTAGTAGTACAGTAGTAGTACAAGAATAATACAGTAGTACAATAGTAGTACAGTAGTAGTACAGTAGTAGTACCGCAGTAATACAGTAGTAGTACAGTAGTAGTACAATAGTACTACAGTAGTGGTACAGTAGTAGTACAGTAACAGTGCAGTAGTAGTACAGTAACAGTACAGAAATAGTACCAATAAGCAAAGCATAAAGCCAGTGAGCACATTCCCCCAATAAGCAAAGCATAAAGCCAGCACCTGAACCCTAAACTAAACCCTAACAACCGTTAAACCCTGAACCCTAAACCCTAACAAACCCTAAACCCTAAACCCTTCCCGACCCAAAATTGAATTTTTTATACAAACTTTAGTACTGGAGACGCCTCTTTTGAGCAAGGGTCCAATTCCCGATTCGGCGGTTCACCCTAGCAGCCCCCCCCCAATAAGCAAGGGATACAGTAGCAGTACAATAGTACAATAGTAGTACAGATTTCATTCCTGACGCCCCAATAAGCGAAACAATTCTGCAAGAGATTTTCGGGCTTCAGGGCCAGGCTTTTAGGGTTTGGGAGGGGGCTTTAGGTCGTGGCTGCCTTAAGATTGACCATCAGCAGACAGCACACACACACACCAATAATCCCCCTCAGCAAAAAAAACGCATTAATTAGACCGCCCAAATTTTTGGCACCGGCCTGAATTAGCCCCGGAGAAAACGCATTAAAGGAGCCCATATTCCGAAACCGGCCGCCACATTACTAACTCAACTAACTCAACTGCACTGAATATGCTTTTGTAAGTTCAGAGTTAAGCAAAAGACTGACATGGTTCAGGAGTTGGCATACGGTATAAGTGTAAACATATAGATACGATAAAGATACATAGGACCGATACATACATATATGAATTTACATGTAAGGGTATATATGTATACATACACATTGTTTACACACGAACTTTCATGTATCATCACGGATAGCAGGTAGATCAGTCCAATCGATATGTTTCATCTGTTTTGACAGGAAATCTGTTGAGAGCATGCTTCAAATACGAAAACACGCACTAACACAGACAGAGAGAGAGATAGATAGATATATATATATATATATATATATATACACACAAAATATATATGTATATATTTACATGCAGCCCCCCGCCGCTCCAGTACCTACCTTGTTCCGGCTTTGTTGCTTTTGGGTCTAAGTTTTCGTCATCTAGGTTGCAAAGAATACTGCACCATGTTTGTGCCAGTAAGCCGTCGCCACCTACACAAGAGCGTCTTCTGCATCATGGTTTTGCCGGTAGCTGTAACCTAGGTGCCAATGAGTGCTGTATTTACTGCAGAGCAACAGCAGACGTAGATGCGACACTGGTGCATGTTGCCTATATACATGCATATTTGCAGCAGAGGCAGTGCGGTGACATGTTTGCGCCAAGGCGAACTTTTGGGTTCAAAAATGGCAGCACCACTGCAGGCTCAACACAGGCCAGGATATTAAGGTTATCACACGCACTACTAAGATTTCTCGTATATAGCTCTGACTAAGGTGGTAAAAAATAGGGAAACACTGGGCTCATACTGTTGGCCGTACCAAGGCTACTTTGGATAGTCTTGCGGCTAATATCAGGCCGAATATTGGGGTCACCATTGACATTAGGGTTAATGGCAAAGATTTTGCTAGGGTTGATGTTGAAGTCCGACATGAGCATCTACAGTAAGAAGGGGTCTATCATTGCATATTGAGGTAAGCAAGCAAATACAAATATCATCCTCAAATCTACGGGCCATCAATGCAACAACTTAGGAATGAAATGGTTGGGAGGTTCACATTAGCATGGATATGACAGTTACCGTTGGGGCTCGTACTTGGGCCGTATCTAGTTCATCTGTATCAATACTGACAATAACTAAGATTGGGGGTGCCATGGCTTCGGGGTTCATGAACGAAGACCGTTAACTGTTTAGTTTGCTGTTGAGCCGAGTATTCGGTGCATTACGACGACTTGCAGTAGGGATATCTTATGGGTGATATTATTGTGAATAAGATCCATCTTTTTACTCAGATAGGGCAGTCGGTGAAAATCCAGCATCTCTATTGTCGGGGTGCCAAACTATGATGTGAAGTAATTATCGACTTCTGGTAGATATGGGTGTTAACATGCGAACGACTGGTGCGGCCACTAGTCGGCACAGCATTGTATCCATAAGATCGATGTATGGTGTTGAGCACAACAATGTATCCATAAAGTCTATGTATGGTGTTGAGCTACAAGGTGCCACTTTTTCGGGTAAACATGAGTCAGAATAGCACAGCAGGGTTATCCAAGCTACAACTAAGGCAAGGTTTATCTGAGGCTGGGCGTGGGTTCGCTAATTATATCGATGAACGGCAAATTCAAACCTGTCGGTAGGTTAGCATCCTCTCGACCATGAAGTTGAGATATCAGGGTCAGTATCCTTGAGTTGAGTCTTAGGGCTGGCACTATGGACATCCGTATGTTATCCGGGCTATTGTCAGGGTCGACGGGTCACCATTGGGGCCCATGTACCTACCTTTCTGGGTGCTGCTTAGCTAACAATAGTAGAGGCCCCACTGTCGTGCTTTAGGCTGGTACCAGGTGGGAAGGTGCCCGATCAGCCCTGACTGTACCAACCCAACTTCCCCAGTGGCACTGTTTGTTGACGCTTTTCTTTGTTTGGTTTGCATTGTTAAACCAACTTGTAGCAAAAAGGGAACCTAGAGGCAGTGCTATGAGCAACATGAACACAGTATAAAAAGGATTCTGACTAGTGGTCTGTGATGAAAGCAATCGTTACTCGTCGTGACTCGTGGTAGGCGCTTGCGGAGCCGATTCAACTTGAATCGGCCCGATTCAAGTTGAATCGGGCCCTGCTCGATGCTATGCCAAACGACAAACCACCATTTGCCGTTTTTGAAACATCAGCGGCCAGATCACATCGCTTATTTATGTTGATATATGTCACAGAAACATGTCATTCATTTCATCTACGAAATGCATGCTTTTCGAAATAAGCACAATTAGGCTTAGGCTGTACTCTCATGTTTTAACTTGTCATACGATGTATCTTTAATGTACAAATGCCACCTGTTATCGAGAAAAACTACTTCATCAATAAATCAAGATCTTCCAGACAATAAGAGTCGTTTTAATGATCGCTACATCAAAACAGAGATTCGACGCATAACGACTTGTTCAAAATAGTTTGTTTTTCGCAAAATTACTGACTCGAAAACCATAGTAACAAAAGCTCTGGAATATCCCATGTAAAGGTGAAGCTAATCTTTCACACCAGCACTTCAACAACCATGTAAACCGAATCCTTTGGATATGAATATCCGATGTGCGAATGAACTCCAAGTTCTTGCAGCCTCGAAGTATATGTCCGTACGAATGCCTCATATCACATATAAAGGATGTACTACGAAAAACATAATAATCTGGGTTTATCCCTTTCGCTCCGAGAACGCATATACTTACACCATAGAAATCATCATCGGCCTATACCCGCATAACAGGAGAAGTGAGTTGTAGAAGAAGCTATTTGCTCTTCAACGCACAAGTATCGTTCGGCAGGCCGTTTGCCTTCGTAATCAACCCCCACTCTGAAGCGCTTTTGAACCCCCAACCATGTTGACAAAAAACAACATCGTGTAACACCCGCACTTCTAAGTTCTTAACCGTGGTGCTAAATCAACGTCCGATGTTCCTTAGGTTCTTTTGCAGAAGGGCATTGTTCACTTCGTGTGAAAACTGGTTCCACGGGTGTCAGTTTGTAGCACAAGTACCGCAGAACATTTTGCCCTTGAG